ATCTGATGACTCATCCCCCGGTGTGCTTCAGAAAGTATGATCTGATGACTCATCCCCCGGTGTGCTTCAGAAAGTATGATCTGATGACTCATCCCACGGTGTACTTCAGAAAGTATGATCTGACGAGAGGACTCAAGGTTAAAGTTCCATGATGAATGGCTTCTTTTTTTTCCACTCCACCAGTGTGTGTCTGGGACTGCTTGCATCACCTCACTTGGAGATAATGTTAAAAGTCTAAATCCGGTACCCTTTGTGAGTGTGAGCCCTCTGTGCTTTCCACCAACAAAAGCATCTTCTGCCCAGGGGGCTTATGTGATAAAAACAAGAAAAGAGATGCCAGCAGTGGGTTTCAACTGATCATAGAACCAAATGGGCTTGAAAGTCTCTTCACACAAGGCTGGTGAGGGCTAACAGTCCCAAGGGAGGAGAAGCCCCAGGCTCTAGGGACTCCTTGTGTCTCCCCTGCACCTCTCCTAGCATGGTCCTGCTGGCTAAATCCCTGCCTCTAAATCAGATTTCCAAGAACTGTGAAGTCTGATGAGCCAACACCACTTGCTCCCACGTGCCTGCTGTGTGGACATCGTGGATATTGAAGCAAACTAGCAGGAGTTTTCCCTGAGGATTGTGTGGCCGTGACATGGAGAGTGGGAATTCACAATGAGTCAGAACCATCAGAGTTGAGTCATGCTCTGCCCCTAGCATCTTCCCTCTCAAGCTCAGCTACCTCCATGGCCCTGGTTAGTACAAGCTCTGACTTGCAAACCTCTCCCTATCCTCTGTGGGAAAATCGGTGATACCATTAATAGATTTTATAGGCAACAGCCATACTCTACTTCCCAGTCAGGCAAACAACAAACCTTCACTGAGGACTCACTGGGCTGTGCACTAGAGATACGGACATCAACAAGACTTGGCCCCTGCCCTCAAGAAGCTCATAAGTCGGGAGACACATGAGTAAGGGGAGGATCACAAGGTAACTAGTAAGGGCCCTGATGGAGATGAACCTTGTTTGCACTGATTACAGAGAGAAAGGTTATCTACCTCCCTGTGTGACACATTAGAGCTAAGTCTTGAACAATCAGGAGAAGCCAGTTAGGGTACAGTTGTAGAGAAGTAGATTCCAGGAGGAATCACAGCATGATGACCTAGAGACTTAAGAGAAGAAGGTGTGATTCAAAGATCACATGGGTGCAAAGGGGCAGTCACGGGGTCCTTGTCTTTCATGACAAGGAGCTTGGAATTTGTGGCTAATTAAGAGGAAAAGGGAAGACCATGGCCTTTAAGCCATAACCAGTTATAATCTCACCTGCAGCATCTCCTCTTAGCTTCAAGACATTTTCTGTTTCTTCATGGCTCATTAAGCCTCCTAACTGTGGCATAATATATACCCAATATATACATATTCTACCCCTTGTCAAACCTGACATCCCGCAGCAGAGGAGCAGAGGGAGTGATGTTGGTATCCATTCCTTTGTCTAGAAAAACCCTTCATTACCGATTTCAGGCAGTTAACAGAGTCCTTGGGCTTTGTCTTGCATTTTTGTCACACAAAGCAAATAGAACAGTGCTAAAGAATGCATTTCAGATGGTAAGTAACCCATAAAAGAAAAAAAAAAGGACAATGTGAAAATTTAATAGTGAGGCTTCTAGGGACATTGTGTACTTTGATGGAATACAACTGACATTTTCTTTTCTTTCTTTCTTTTTTTTGGTGACGTGGGGGAATAATTGCTCAGGATTGAGAAAGATCTGGTTGCCATTCTTCTCACTTTTCCATTGTTAAGAAAAGCAATCAAGAATGTGTTATTCATGTTTTACTGACTCAGTACTGTTGCGTGGACATGGATCAGGAAAACTAAATAGTCCCATTATATCTGGGCATCTTCTTGACTCACTCTTCCTTTATTTAAAGAAATAGTTATATTATCCATTCTCAAAAAAGTTTGAAATTGAGGAAGGATATACATCCTAAAATCAGATAATTAAGCAGATAATACAATTTTAATCTTAACTGGAAGTTGATTATGAATCAGGACATTCTCTTCTATCCCCAGTATTTTCCAGCACTGATTATCTTATGGTTAATATCCATGACTCTCTCTCTGTTCCTTCATTTTGGAATGTTTTGTTGCCATTTAGAACCATGGTTTTCTTGCCCCGTCTATTGTCATACTATTTTAATTGTTAGGGTCGCTTCTGATTAGTAAGCACGTATGCTGCTGACACATAATCATCGGTTCACAGATTCTTAGTTTCCTTTTTATTGTCTCTCTTTGTGTGGGTGTGTGTGCATGGATTTGACAAGGAAGGAAGGTGTGTGGAGACATATATATATATATATATATGGATGATCCTTGTGGTTTTCTGCTTACTGTAGTATGGGAATGCAAGTATATGATTTATAATACAGAATGTACTTGAAGCACACTTAAAATTTATTTCGGGGTTTATCTTGGATGGAGAATCACAAACAAATAAATAAACCAAATAAAGCTTTGCCCCTCCAATTCAGGCTAGTGTCAGGTTGGGTTGTCAGATGGCAGGATCAGTGGCATGATAAGTCTTCCCTTTGGCAGCCGGAGGGGAGAGGGATTACTTGGTAATGAACGCAGAGTTTCAGAGAATGTAAGTGTATGCCTGTGTGTGCTGGCGAATGTGTGTGCACGTGTGTGAGACTACTTTTGCAAACACAGCCCCTCTGTAGTCACTCCGTGACACTACATTTGATCGCTCAGTTCCAGTCACTTCTCTTTTTATTTTTTTAAAGATTTTATTTATTTATTTGACAGAGAGAGACACAGCGAGAGAGGGAACACAAGCAGGGGCAGAGGGAGAGGGAGATGCAGGCTTCCCATGGAGCAGAGAGCCCGATGCGGGGCTCAATCGCAGGACCCTGGGATCATGACCTGAGCCGAAGGCAGATGCTTAACGATGGAACCACCCAGGCGCCCTGGGTCACTTCTCTTTTTAAGATGGCCTCCGTAAAATGCTCTTCCTTCTGATGCTTGCAGGCATCACGATATTCTAGGTCTGCGTTCCTTCCCTGCCTAGATTGCATTTGCCTCTTTTCTGGTCTCTGCCTCGTGTCATCTCTGTTGTCCCATTTGTTTTCTTTGCTCTCTGCATTTCCATACTGCCAGCTCAGCTTCCTCATGTTGCTCTCCTGGGGAAGCCTCTGATGGCTTCCTTCTCTTTCTAGTAGCAGTTTTCAACCCCCTATACCCAATGACCACTGTTTATAAAACATATTGTTGATGTTCCTTTACTCTCAAATGAGACCAATAAGAAACGTGACCTACCTCCACCTAATTTTGTAAAAGGCAATGCAAGTCCTTGCGTATAACGTGAAGGAGAACTGATCTTTGTCATACAGATATGTATTTCTCTACAACATGCGTGGGCATGACAGCACTGGAAGACAGAGGAAGTGAGGGGTAAGATTCTCACACATGCTCTTAGAATCACAGGGAGTGTAAGCCACCTATAGATGCAGACTTTTGTAAGTAGGTGATGTTGCTGTTGCAAATAACAGGCGCAGAGTGGTATTAGCGATAGCATTTTCAAAAATGGTACACAACTCTTGGTAAAGCTTTGAAGGAAACATTTTTTTTTCTCTTTGGTTTACATGGTAGTAGAAAACTTAGTGTTTGTTAAAAATGGGTACAGAATATTTTGCATGTGTATGTAAAACGGGGTTAGATTTTGGGCTTGGATATGGTAAATCAGGCTTCTCAGCTCATACATTTCCAGTAAGACATTTGAAAGTTGGGCAAGACAGGGGACAAGGCTTAATTGCTCAGGACTGCTCTACACATTGCAGGGCAGGTGACATCTCTGGTCCCCACTAAACGCCAGTAGCAATCCTCACACATCTTGAAAACTAAAACATCTGCCCAGAGTTCCAAAATATTCCCTAGGGGTGTAGTACCATTCCCTGGAGGGTGGCTGGTCCACAGAATAAAATCGAGTCCATTCTGCTTGGCATCCAAGGGCCTCCATGTCTGATCGTCAAGTATTAGAATAGCAAGACATTGAAAAGAATCTAAGTATTTAACTATAGGGAATTGGTTAAATTTTAGTACATAATTTATATGCAGATTTCTAGTGCATAGACAATTAAAATTCTGTTCCAGAATAACATATTCATAATTTATTATTAATTGAAAAAAAATGAGTTATACAAACAGCCACTATAGTATAATACCGATTTTGAAAAATCATGTGTTTATATGTGCACGGATACTTACATATATACAAACTATTGCTTATATGGTTAGATAAGGGGCAGACAACAGGCACCAAAATATTTTAGAGATAGACTTATAGGTGATGTTTCCTTTCTTTAGTATCCTTCTGTAGTGTCTTCATTTTCTACAATTAACATATATTGCCTTCGTGAAAACAGTAATAACAGCAATGATAATAATAATAAACCAAAGTGTAGAGTAATTGACCTCATGAAACCATCAGGTTCCTTGAGTGCTTACCTATGCAAAGGCTATCCAGGTATTGCCCACCATCTGCTAACAGTTAAAAAAAATAAAATAATAAAATAAATTGAGCATTCACCCCAATATGTGTTTATTGTTTTGAAATTATCTACA